TTGCAGACCAAGTGCATGTGGGATGTAGAAAAGGAGATTCTGAAGAGGACTCTTAGAGGTCTACCTTGGCCAGCTATGTGGACAGGGATGCCATTTGCTAAGACATAGAATACAGGAGGAAGAAGAATTTTGGTAGGGAGGTGGAGGGAAGATGGAAGAGTTATGTGTGTAATTCAAGGTGGTTGTGACATCCAGACCAACATATCTAACACAGAGATGGATAAACAGATGTGAAGCTGAGGTTGGATATGGAAGTCACCTGCCTATTAATGTTGTGGGAGCCACTGGTCCATATAGGATCCTCTAGTAAGGCAACTCTGTAAAGGGCGAAGAGGGTTGGGTGCAAAAGGGAGCCTGTCCCATCACCACTGCTGGCTCTGGCCCAGCTGTGGTTCAGAGCCATGCATGCATCCCCCAGTGGTCTGTGAGATTCAGCCAGATTTTATTTCAGATCCAAAAGGGGCAGTGACTATGCACACTGAGCAGCCTGTTTCATGCTTACTTAGACTTACAGAGACTTTCTAGACAGAAAGGGCAAGACCTGAGACCAAAGCAGTAAATAACCCTGTCCTGTAGGCAAGTGCCAGCTCGGTCACTAGAAAGGCTGCTCTTTGGCAATGAAAACAATTTGCTTGGTCCCAGAAAGAAGTCTGACAATGGAATGATCATGAACTCCCTGCCTGTAGAAAGCTTCAAAAGATAAGAATGACCATGTATAGAATTAGCAGGGATGCCGGCATCTGTACTCTTAAAAGGGTCTTTTCAGCTCTGAAATCTTGAGTAACTCCCTCTGTGCTCCATGAGAACAGCAACCTGCTTCTTCTACACTTTGTCTTCAGCACCCAGGACAAGGTGAGGCCTGGAGCACTCACTGAGAGAGTGAAGGCTTTTGTGCAGGAGACGCATCTTAGCACATATCTCAGTGTGTTCTCTCATTGCTCCACGGATATGAAAATGTATAGTCAGTTTCCAGTTTGGCTCTGTGCTGTGATATGACTTTTCAAATAATTTACTCCCAACCTCAAGACCACCAAAATAGAGGGCCCCTACTTAACCTCCAGTCCCCTAACTCCTCATACTGGCTCTAATGAGCACAGTGCTTTATCAGGTTAGGATCCCAAAGGCCTCCTGCTTTCTATTATATGCCTTAGGTTTTGAAAACAAAATGAAGCTTTCATGCTATGTCACAAAGGAGGATTATAAGGAGTTTTGGCAAGTTGGCATTATCAGCTCCATGAAAGGCTATTTTCACTTCCGAGTCCCTGTGGCCCCTAGTCTGTGGATACAGACTGCCTCCTACTTGTCTTCCTGACACCACAGGTTGCTTTGGCCATCTCTCTCTTTTGGGTTAGCAAGTACTCTCTCCTTATTTTTTGCCATCTCTGCTGTGTATCAGTATGTGGCCTGGACACTGGCTGAACAATGAGTACTACACAGGGCTTTCCTGTTGAGAAAGGCTTGTGTGGGAGGACCAAGGAACAAAACCTGAGAAGAGAAACAAGTGACAGGTGAGATTTCATAACTTCCCCCAGGGCATCACGTCACCCATTAGAGAAGCTTCTGCTGGCTGGCTTCCATACCACATCCATCCCCTTCAAATAAGTCGTTCGAGGATGGCTGGAGGACAGGGGCAATGGACACAGTGGTTGATTCTACATGCCAACACTGTAGAGGGCAAGTGGCATCCATTACAAGCTCAGAAACAATAGCTCAGTGGCATCCATTACAAGCTCAGGAACCCTGAGAAAAGAGAATCTTTGGGGAAAATCTGTATACCTATTGTCTTGGAGGAAGTCAATTTCTACATGGAAGATTCTAGAGACCCCATTTAATCTGAGCCTTGTCTTGGACTACTCATTTTAATCAACTCTGGAAGAAAAGCAGAAGAAAAAATAAAGAAAAAAAAAAAACTAAGGAAAAGTCAAAATGGAGACCAAAGAGTAGGAAAGTACACCTCTACAGAAAGACAAAGGGACTCTTTAGCAGGGTACAGATTCCTAAACGAACATCCAGCTTCATGTTGATGGAAGTCTGTCAGATGGAAGAAGTGAAACATTTACTCTCCACTCCTGTCTGGCCCAGAAGGAGAGATGTGGATATAAACTACACCATGAGGAGTCGCAGTTAATCCTAAAGAGAAAAACCTAACATTTAAAAATGTTCTGTGCAATATGTGTTAGGAAATGTGTGAGGTATTCAACATTCACACCCCCTGAGACAGTATGATTCCCTAACAGCTTCCTGGAGCCAACATTTTAAAAAAATTATAGTTTTCAATATTGTTTCTTCAACTAAGTTATTTACTACATTATACAGCTTCGTCCAGACACATACTCAGGACAGGAGGCATAGCTGCAGCCATGGGAATCAGATGTCCACTCAGGATAGGTGCGGTCAGCCTGCCTGAGAAGGTGCCTGTGTGCCCAGAAGAGGCAGCAGAGTGGTCCCAGGGTGGAGAAACCTCCGGTGTGCAGAAAGCGTAGTGGTCCCAGGGACCCGTTGGGTGCCCATTTCTAAGCCCAAGTATCCTATGCCCACCTGGGTGGCTGTGGGTCTTCATCTAAAATGAAGCTCAGCACCAGAGCGCTAACCAGAATAAGCTTGGCTATGGGTCTGGTTTTAGAAAAGGGAGGAAGGATGAGCTAAACACCCTCAGGGCTTCTGTCAGACTTATGAAGAAAAACTTGGTCCCATTAATTTATTTTCTAATCAATACCTGCCTAGAACCTTCTCTCCTCAGTACCTAGCACAAGGTACTAGGAGTACAGGTATGAACAAGGCTGGCCCTGAGGTACTCCCAGACTAGGAATAGAGACTATCACAACTGGGGGGAGAAGAATACACTAGAGGGAGAGGTGAAAAGAGGACCAACTAACAGTAGTGTCAACAAAAGGTTCCTGCCACCAAGAGTGCCCAATCCTGGGTGAGGTAAAAGGAGAAACTTTATTCATGTAAACAGTTTGCAAACCAGAGAGACCAGAGGTGCACTCTACTGAGACAAAGAGGAGGCTGCATTTTACAGAGAAAGTCTCTACCTTCGTCCCTGTTTGGCCCATTTTTATGCAAATGATGAATTTGAATATGCAATCTGGTGCAAATAGCACTGTCCTGATTGGTCGGCTTCTTGTGTTCTGACTGGTTGTTATGAAGCCACTCTGATAGGTTAGATGCAAATGAGGATATAGCTGCATAGTTTTGATTGGATGGAGCCAGTTTCAGCCCACTAGTCGAAATATAAAACCAAGAGCTCCTTTATAAGGGTTGACTGAGCCTGCAGGAGGAGCACAGTGCAGGAGGCTGAAGGCTCAGTTTATAGCTTTCCTCTGAAATGCAGTGTGTGTGAGAGGCCTCTGTCAGCTATGGCTGCTGGATTCTGGTTATGAATTTGTGCTCGGTTAACCACGAGAAGCCCTTCTCAGTAAATATATTTCTTTTCGAGGTTTACAGTGGCAACGCTGGGTCTAGATGTTAGAAAACTGCAGGGGGACTGGCCTGGCTGATCGGGAGCCTGTCACCTTCATGAGGCCACATGCAGACATGGGCCCCAATATCGCTTTCTGCTCCCATAGCGCAGATGGCTTCTGCAGGGTGGCAGAATGTGTTTTTGAGAGAGGCTTTTTCCAGAACGCTTAACTGTGAAACTGGTTTTTGGTAGCTTCTCTGAGGAGTGTTTTTATATTTATAAGATATACAGGGATCTGAGGATAAAAGGCTCTGAGGAAGGTCAGGTAATTATGATTATGATGGTACTGGTAATGATCAAGCTAATGGCAGCTAGAATCCGAAACTCCCCCAGCACTCCTGCACCATGCTACCAGTTACCACTACAACAGCAGGGCCTAGCCGTGCACAGCTAATAAAAAAAAATAAAAATAAAAAACAACCACAGAAAAATCCAGTAGCAGAGAGAGGGTTTTCATCTTTTGAAATTGCAATAAGGGAAAACATTGGCATCAGCTCACATTATTTAATGGATTTCTCACAATACAATAAATGGCTCCATGATCACCACTGAATGTGTGCTTATGGAAAACAAGCACATACCAAGAGAAGTGCCAAGCCTCCAGGTGGAAAGGCACCTGAGCCGTGAGCCCTGGAGGGGAGGACCAGAGGTGGGATGGCCTACAGAGAACGCAGACCCTCAGTGGCAGAGCTCTGTGGGTAGAGCGTTCTGAGAGTCAGCATGGTCATAGGGCTGGCATATCGACATCAGAAAACTCAAAAGGCATCATGGAATATTGGTGGGGGTTAAAGGACTTCGGACAGTCTTACCATGAATGGTTTGTCCTTTTCTTTAAGTGTGTGCAACCCCAGCATTAACTTATATAGGTGTTGTCAGTCAAATGCTTCCTCAGGAGAAAGCAAATACATTTCAGTTATGACCTGGCTGTACAGCAGGATATCCCTGAGGTCCTCTGTATTGACCTATCTAGACACTGCTGTAGCCACACTTTGCCGGCCAGTTGCATTCAGTCTTAGTCAGCAAGTACTTACTGGGAGGTGCCAGTGTCCCAGGCATAGACACATCTGCCAGTAATCTCACTAGGCTATAGCTACGAGATGGGCACTCGCTGAGGAGTTGCTCTTCCTCCAAAGGTGCCTGGGTCCCTAGTTGGCAAAACACCCAGAAAGCTAAACAGGGCATACACATGATGGGCACACAGAAATTTCTGGTGGATGGGGTTGAAGAAGATGGTGATGATATGCACACAGTAAACAAACTCGTCAGTGAAAGGAACCAAAAAGGGAAGATTTTAAAAAGACCTAAACTGGCCCAATATTAGCAAAAGAATACTCCATTCCGAGACAAGCTGAAAACCCCCAAGGAAACTCAGTGATCAAAGTGGGTTGATTTCCCAGCAGGACTCCTGATCCCATGGTGTCTGTCTCAGACCCCGCTTAGATTATGCTTTGGCCATGGGCATGCCAAGTGGTCAGCACTCGCTCATGGTAACACCCGGATCACCAGTCTGTTTTGTCTTGTCTTGCCCTTCCTGTAGCTACTACATGTTGGAAAACAGACCCAGGAACATCTATGGCATGGTCTGCTACTCCTGCCTCCTGGCGCCCCCCAACACCAAGGAATGTGAGTGCACTTTGTCCTTCCATCAGAACGGTACTAGTTCAACATTCACGTCTTTTCATTACATGATGTGGTAGGCACCTAGACAAGTTGACTACAGTGAAAGCATAAATAAACTGCTCCCATGGCCTAACCAGTCAGCAGGTCTGTGAAGGAGGTTTGCTATAGCTGAACCATGAGTCAGAGACGCAGGTCAGTCACCTTAGAAAAATGACCTTGAACAAGTCACATAACCTCTATGAGCCTCAGTTTTCTCATTTATAACTTGTGGGCATTATAATCTGAATTATTCATCTTATGCAATTGTTGGAAAAAAACAATGAGATCACAGATGCCAAGGTATTTTGCTGAGTACTACAAAACTGTAATGAATTGTTAGTGCTCGTACACATATATATATATATATTTTTTTAAAAGATGGCTTCCTGGATAAAGCCAAGGGAAATATAAGGAATGATCATGTAAAACAGATTCCACAAAGCACATGTAAACAATGAGTCTCACAAGTTAAGAGTCTTTCCTTGGGCTGTTTCTTTTCTGTTCTCATTTGGTTTGACTTTTATGGGCATGTTTATGAGGAAGGGCCAGGAACCTCTGCTCCCAAGAATGTATTGCATCGTCTCTTGGATCTGTGATCTGGAGAGACACTCACGAAGGTGAGATAGATGGGCAGCTGGGAGGAAACAGGAAGGCTAGTCCCCAGACCACAGGAGCACTTGTCCTGCTCTCCCTCCAGTTCTCTCCCACTCCAAGGCAAAAGAGATGCCCACGTTGGAACCCTGCCTCTCCTGGGTCTCCATGAGGCCCTGCCCACACTGTTTGCTCACAATAATCTTATCCAGGAGAATAGAATAAGGGCCTTCCTCTT